CCCTCCTGTATCAAGATTATTATATGGTACCTAAAAGCGTATAAAGCTTCAGTGACCCGTTATATTATTCTACACGCATGGCATCTTGTTGGTCTTTGAACAGAATTTCTTAAGATTGACTTCTGTTCATACCAACCTTCTACTGTTCTACAACGTTATCTTTCTTTTCCTATGAAAATCTAACGAACTCTTTCTGGTCTACCTGCAGTTTAGTTGCTCATACATTTTATACATCACAAGAATACTATTGATTTTGTTGCGCGCGTAAGCCACCAATCGTTATGCTTCGAGAAACCAAACACAAACACCAAGAGAAGACCAAACAAACCAAAATAATGCCACAAATATAAACAACCAATTTTTACGGTTCGGCAAGTTGCCTACGTCTACAGGGCAAGAAGGGATAGGATTTTCACTAATAGAGAAGAAGAATACAAACTGAGATTACAAATCACTCAAACCAACCAACTAATATTACCAACAAATATCTAATTTTCTCCAAACAAAACTCTAACCAATAGCTCAGAAAATATTTCTTTCCTGTGCTCCAAATATCCCCTTGACTACTCCAAAGAAACCGTAAAACGTGTTTGGTATTTATACTAAACTCAAATCCCAACCATAACAGGAAACCAAAAGTAGGCTTAGACCTGACACGCGGTCGACTGCCGCGCCAGTCGCGATCGACCGTGGCCAACGAAAAAAACTAAAAATCCATTACAGGGTCTCGCAGTCGACCGTCGCGCCAGCCGACGCGGTCGACCGCCAAAAGTCCATAGACTTTTCCCTGTGCTGTGCACGTTTGCAGTCGATCATCGCGCCACTCGCGGTCGACCGTGAAACTTCCAAAATGTTTCCGGCTTCCCAAAACCCGTTCTTCTCCAATTTCTTCGCCAAATCTACAATTCTTCACCTCAGCGAAGTTTTCCCAAAACTGAGTCGACACCAACCAACCCAAATGTCCCGCTTGTTGCGTCCAGTATAAAGTAAAATAAATTCACGACAACGGACTCAATCCACAACAAGTCGAGACCCAAATGAGAATGTGATCACTCTCCAAACATTGGTATCTACTCACCAAATCAGCTGCATCATAAATGACTGTCTACATATTCTCTTGTCCAAGGAATCAAGCATTCACGTAGTTCATCCAACGGCCTCCAAAGGCCCTCAATCAAATAGAAGAGTTCTTAACTCTTCACCAACAAATGTACGGCTGATAGCTCTCCCAATGGCCCCAAAGTGAAACAAACCAAACACCTCCATCTGAGGTGAACCAACGGCCATATCCAAATTCAAACTATGTCCACCAGCTGCACTCGAATCAACAACTCATCATCTGCATCCAAATCCAAATGATCCCCAAACTGCGTCACCTCAGCTGGAATCCCAAACAATGCAGTATGATCTGGAGTATGTGGAGTAATTTTCATCCAACGTGAAGTAGCATCACCCTCCACCTGCTGTGATATCCTAACGATCTGATCAACACTCTCCACCTGTCGAGAGTCAAATGTGACATACCAGCTCAGAACAAAATCAGAGTCTCCCAACTGATAACCAAATAAGCTTTTGAATCCCAAATGTGCAATCGGATCAAATCGCACATCCTCGATGTGACCAAATGTTGGCAACCAAACATCCGACGCAACCCAAAATCTAAAGCAGCTCCACTAGATCCAAAATCTCCACAAGCAGCCTGAAAACTCCTCTAGCAAGGAACGACCCATCAAAACTGTCATCTCATCTCGTTGCCCCAATATTTCCTCTCCAATGAAGTGTCTCAAACTGTCGTGAGCTCGGTACAAACGCAAGAAAGGACCCCTACCAAAATAAGAATAACAGATAACCTTTCTGCCAATACACTTCCTCCATTTGTTGTTGACTTCTAGGACTTCATACCAATAGGACTTGGTTACAACCCACCAATGCCTAGAACAGTCCCTAACTACGAAAATCAAATGCCGATTACCTCCCAATGATAACTTCTTGGAAGGCTCCCAAATGCCTGAATGAACACCACCTAAAAGATCCCTCGATCTTTGGATAGAAGTACCAAACTCCACCTCGGTCTTCTTGCTCATACCAATGTGCTTAAAGAACTTCAATCTGTAGGTCAAAACACTCCTCAATAAACCATGCACAGCATAACCAATCAAATATTCCAGCCTCAACAAATATCACAGTCTAGCCAAATCCAAAGAAGTCATCAGCTTTCTACCAATCACTGTGCTCCCAATCAAATAATACAAATTCTTTTCCTGACGCCCTTCATCATATTCATGGACCCAAATGTGACCTTCAAAGATGCATCCTCTAAGGTCACAAGGTCACCCGATAGCCTACTGCCTCTAAAACTCTAAGTGAAATGATGTTTTTATTCAACCGACGAACAAACCTCACTTCATCCAACTCCTGAATCACTCCGTCACACATCCTAATACGAACGGTACTGATACTACCAATAGGGCATTCATGATCATTACCCATGAGCACAACATTCCTTCTTTCCAACTCCTGAAAGCTAGAGAACCAATCCCTTCTAGGGCAAATGTGGTAAGTGACACCCGAATTCAACATCCACTCTGTAGAGTCGGCAACACAAACTGACGGTAGTGCTAATGAGTAGCCCGAAAAATCTAAATCTGAATTGTAGCCACTAGTCTTGACAACATTCACCTCTGAAGCTTGAATATCTTTCCTATTATTCTTCACGGCTCGATTTGTCAACTTTGGGCATCCGGCTTTCTAATGTCCATCCTCTTTACAAAAGACACACTAATTTCTACGAACTCCAAGATGTGCCTCTCTAGACTGCGATCTCCTACCACGGTTTGGGCTCTTTGCTCTTGCGACCAATGCCCTCGCTTCCGGCTCAATCGAAGTCTCCTTATCATTCTTTCGAAGCTAATAATTCACAAGTGCAGCGGTGACCTCACTATACGAAAGAGATGTTTTCCCATTAATCAGAGTAAGGACGAAGGTCTCATATTCCTCGTCAGACAAGAAACTCAATAATAACAACGCCTTGTCGTCATCTTCAAACATAACATCTACATTCGCCAAATCCGCAAGAAGCTCCGTGTAGTGGTTCATGTGATCACCATTGAAGGTTCCTTTCTTCAATTGGAAGCGGTAAAGCCTCCTCTTCATATGCAAGCGATTTTCCACACTCTTCGTCAAATACTTGCTCTCAAGGATCTCCCAAATCTTCTAGCCGAAGTCTCATTGATCACATCATATTTCAGGTTTTGAGTTAAACAAGATCTAATCACACCACATGTCGTTCTATTCATCTTCTTTCAAACATTCTCCTCAATGTCGCCCGATTTCTCGTCCAACTCTAATATCTTCCAAATTTTACGTGTTGAGTGCATTTAAGACTTCACATCTCCAAAGACCAAAATTGTTTGTGCCATTAAACTTCTCCATATCTATCTTCATAGAGTGGATATTCAAACTTTGAACGGTCTTCACGCCGGAAGTACCCTCCACAACTTCTTCTTTCTCGACCATCTTTCTCAAAACACCAACAAAACAATGCAGAAAAAACGAAGAATAAATCCAAACTGAAAAAGAGAGATTTTTACCTCTAACTGAAACCCTAACAAGGGCCTCCGAAAGATCTCACCCCACACGACGGAGACGAGATCCACAAATAGGAAAAATCCCACCTTTATCACCAACTGAAGCCCTAGATGAACTTTCAAAGCGATTTACTCCTCCAATTAGCCTAAGTGTAGCCCAAGCTCTTATACCACTTGTTGCGCGCGGAAGCCACCAATCGTTATGCTTCGAGAAACCAAACACAAACGATGAGAGAAGGCCAAACGAACCAAAGTATTAATGCCACAAACACAAACAACCAATTTTTACGTGGTTCGGCAAGTTGCCTACGTCCACGGGGCAAGAAGGGGATAAGGTTTTCACTAATAGAAAAGAAGAGTACA